TGTACCCAGACACAGGATCCTTCACCAGTGCTTGCAACTGGGCCTGTGAAAGTTCAGAAGAGGGATTCATCTCAAATGGGAGACAGGGGATTTTCTAGCCCTCCCCCTTCCAGTTCTTCCACTGTAAGGTGAACTTCTCAAAACTCCACTAGTTTGGTCTGAGAACATGAGACCCTGAATTGCTGTTATCAAGTACTTGAGGTCCATTTTAGTGCAGGTGGCACCTGATGCAAAAAGGGGATCTTTTGCTTAGTGCTGGGTTCTTAACCCAGGATGCTTAGATAACACCTGCCCCACTTGCCAGAATGGGTAGAATTCAATGGGGTCCTGGAATGTGAATGGCAAAACAAAATGTTTTTGTTTTCACTAACCTCTAACTAAAATTTAGCATTTCCTTCCATTATAATGCAGGAAGCAAACTTTATTATTATTATTATTATTATTATTATTATTATTATTATTTCTCTACTACTACTAGTATTGCTCCCTGGGACTTTATCATCAGTAGAAATCACACATATTTTCATACCACATTATAAATGATCTCAATGTATTAAAACTGCACATATTTCTAAATACCATGTACAATCATCACTGCTCTGAAATAAGGTAGTATTAGACCCTCTGTATATTTTTGTATTTAATATAGCAAAAAAGAAGCACATACTTTTCTTGTTATATATCACAAATTTGGGGGTCTTTATTCAGATTTATTTTTCCCCTTTTTCATTGGCACATTATAATTGTAAATAACAGTGTATTTTATTATAATATAGTCATACATGCACACAATAAAATAGTATAATTTGAACAATTACAAATTTGGTTTTCAAAAATATTTTAATACTTCTATTTCAGTATAATTTTTGTTTCCTTTAGGATCCTTTGTTTTTTGTTTTATACAATTAAATTTTCTGAAGAAGTCACAAAGGGGTAGCAAAGGAATCCAGGGCAAAGAGCCCCTGTGAAATGATGACAACCCCACTTACTTTCAAAGTATCTATTTTACTTTGCTTAGAATGGTGATAAATTATCCTTTGAAATATCCACATGTTCATCTACTTGTAAATTTGAACTCTCCCAGTTCCTCATTTGGGTCACTAGCAGATGACCAGGCCCAGAGTGGTTCTTAGATATCAGGAATAGTTTCAACCAAAGAGTCTACACTGAGTATCTCTTGCACTTTCGGTGACATGGCCCCATAAATTCCTTCCTCACTTGAACTAATCCAATTAAGTTTCTGTCACTTGTACCCTGCTGGTTCTACATGGAATTCCTCCACATTAGTTAGGGCTAATAAAAAGTTGCAGGCAGGTGGCAAGCAATGCCGCTATGTATGGGGGGAAGGTGGGTAATATTTGCATCAGGATGGATTAACTTATCCTTCTAAATAGCAACAGAACACTGATCATACAAATGTCATTCCAACAGTTCGTGTTGAAAAGGGGCTGCCAGGTACTTTTATATTTCATCTAATCCTCATAACAGCCTCTATATATATATATCATACCACCTTTTACAGATGAAGAAGGATCAGAAATTAAATAACCTGTCCAACAGAACAGTCCCATACTCCTGTTCTGCCTGTTCATTCTGCCCAAAGTTCTTCCCCTCTGGCACATTCACCTCCTGCCCGGAGTATCCAATTCCAGCGCATCCTTTAAGACTCAATTAACTGTCTCCTTTCTAGATGTCTTCCTCACTTCATCTTCCCCTCCCACCAATAGCTGTCTCTGCTCTTACCTCTTCAATATCTGGCACTTACCTCCATCACAGCAGCTAACACACTATGATGCTGTGTGTGTTCTTATCCATCTGCCCTTCTAGACTATGTCTTTCTGAGGACAAGAACATTTTTTTATGTCAAGTACAATGTCTGATACAAAGTATGCACATAATAAATGTTTGATAAGAATAAGTTTATTGGTCACCAACTATATGCTGTCTTAAAGTTAAATGCTGGAATACATAGGACACTCACAATCAAGGGCAAATGAATATGAATTCATAAGATGTTCTATTGTCCAAGGTATTGTAGACATAGTAGGCTTTCTGTACACCAGCCTTCCAAATTCAGATTCAACCAAATACAGACTGCAAATATTTAGGGAAAAAAAAATAGAATACAAATAAAAATAGAGTAAAAACTATTTACATAGCATTTACATTATATATTTTAATTAATCTAGAGATGATTTATGTAAGAGGATGTGTGTGGGTTGGGGGGTGTGACTCAGTGGTACTCATCTAACATGTATGACACCCTGGGTTCTATCCCTAGCACCACACACACACACACAAAAAAAAAAAAAAAAAAAAAAAAATTTGTATAGGTTATATGTAAATAGTACCCCCCAACAACTCTTTAGAGACAGGGTCTTGCTAAATTGCCCAGGCTGACTTAGAAGTCGTGATCCTTCTGCCTCAGCCTTCCAAATGGCTGGATTAATTTGTGTACCCAGTACTATCCCACTTTTACAAGGGACTTAAGCATTTACAGAATTTGGTACCCACACGGAGATCTGAAACCAATCCCCCAAGGATACCAACTTATAGATAAAACACAGACCCTTTCTTAAGGAAGTTTATTCCCCAGTGGGGGTCCATGACATATAAACAGATTGTTCACTGGAATCTGATTCATCTGTGCTAGAGATATGGGAAAAAAGTAGTTAGGCCCAGGAGAGCCATAGCAAAAGAAAACAAGGAGAAAAAAAAGTAGCAAATTAAATCCCTGACATGTAGAGATAATGAGTAAAATCAAAGAGCAGCAAGCTGAGGCCAAAAACCTAGTGACTAGCCAGGGGAAAAATAGGGAAAGCAGTCCCTGAAGGAACTTACAAAATATTCAGGTAGAAGTAGGAGAGAGGACAAGGCAAGGGAGTAAGATCACTAAGAATGCAAAGTCAGCTGGGCCAAAGTCAAGAGAAAGGTCAAGATGAGGCCTATTGGGTTTAGCAACCAGAGAGACACTGGTTCTGGCATGAGCACTTTTAGTGAAGAGGTAGAGGAGGCTGAAGCTAGGCTGCAGAGAGATGGTTAATGAATGGGAGTCAAGAATCAGAGATGGTGAATACAGAGAACTTTTTCAAAGGTTGATTAAAAGAGAGAAGAGTAACAGGGCAGTAGGTAAAGGGTGATAAAGTTTTAAAAACATTTTTGTAGTCTTAACTAATTCATTCCTTTCCACCCCACACTATTTCCAAGTGGACCAATTTCCATTTGAACCCTAAAACTCCCATTATGCTCTAAGTTCCTTAAGGACTTGTGCCTGAATCATCTTTTCATTCTATTGGTTTCTCTGTACTAAGGCTCAATATCTCCTGAATGAATGAAGTGCAAATTTGGTACAGGTGGTGCACAGGGAGATGAAGGGATCCACTGGTATATACCTATTGTTTATTCTTCAATCTGTAATGGTCTGAAAACTCAAAAGCATAGAAAAAACAAATCCAAACTTCCCACATGAATGCTTATAAATGTTTAACCCAGGGAGGAAGGTGTAGTTAGGGCCCATTTGAGGCTCTGAAGACTAGAAAATAGAACTTCAGATTCAACAATGCCTTCATTCCCAGAAACTGCTTAAGTTCTTGGGATTTGCAGTTTGTATTGGATTCTCACGGCTGTCATTATAATTTTTGTAAATCATTCTTGTAATTCTTGTAAATTACAATATTTTTGGTCCTGGGAACTAAATCCACATATTAGGCAAGTGTTCTGCCAATAAGTTATACGCCCCAGCTCAGTTCTCCTCAAATATTTAACCTGCCTAAACTTCTAAGTTCTCACAGTGACTTGAAGGTACCATAAAATAACATCTACCTTACAGGGCTACAGGATGGTATAAATGAGGCACTGCAAGTGAAGTGTTAACCCTGGTATTTGGCAAAAATGCTCACAATATGTTAATGATAGAATATCACTAAAATGACTAAAATATTACTAAAGGTAATGGGTTCCAGAAGAGTTGGGTATACAGCAAATCTTTTTATAAATAGAGAAGGAAAATTTGCTCCTTACAAGAACTTCTTGAAGTGTTTTATAAAACTGAGTGGATAACCAACCCCAATTCATCTGTTTTACAAATCCACATTTTCATTCATCAGATTTATCGAAAAATCACTTTTAAAGTTTTGCCTCTCCAAGTGGACCTGCCCAATTAAGTCAGTTAACGTTCCTTAGCTGAGGGGCAGAACCAAGGTGTTGCGTTAATTTCCTGGCCTGCCAGGACTGCTTGCATAAGAGCGCCCTAGGGCATGTTGTTTCTGTTTTAATCAATATTCAGCTCCAGGCCCCTCGGTGGAACACGTCCAGAGCACTGCCCGGCAGAGACCAGCCTTTTCAAAATCCTGCGCTCCAGCAGGCAGGCACAACGCAAACTAGGGGATGGGGAGGAAGGGCTTGGCACCTGCTTGCTGAGACCCGCTGGCCGGACGCCCCAGGGGGATGGGTGCTTTTGCCACCCCAGTCCCAAAGCGCCAGGCTCTGAGCCAGCCGGAGGCGCCAGTCCCGGCCGAGAATAGCAGGCAACCGTGCCGAGGCTAGGAGGGTTCAGAGCAAGACGAAGGCTGTCTAACCTTTCCTCGCTAAGGCCACGGGGCTCGGTGCTGTAACAGTATCTCCCGAGGCAGCAAAGGTTAATGTAAATGTCAAAGGCCTCGGGAGCCGCAGGAAATTGACTACCTTCAGGGAAGCAGGAGGAGGGAGGGGCTGCCGGGAGGGTCGGGCCTCCCAAGGTCAAGGCCAGCTCTCCGCTCCCCCATCTCCCCACCCCAAGGAGTCGGACAGGCAGCTCCGCGTGGCCCCGTGGCCACTTCCTCACGTCCCGCCCGGCGACCTCCGTGGGGCCTCGAGGCGAGAAGAGCCCGCGCAGAGGCCGCGAGGGTGGAGACTTGGGCGCTCTCGCAAGGAAGTGGCCCGGCCGGGAGCTGGGCCGGCCGGGGCCCCGCGTCGCGCACGCACCCCTGGAGCACGTCCCGAGGAGCAGCCGCGCCCCTTACCCCGTTGGCGGCGGCGATGCGGACGATGAGCTGGATGGCGTCCTTCATGTAGAACCTGCCGTCCCCGCCCACCACCAGGGTGGCCTCCTGCCTCTGCCCCGGTTCCACCGTGGAGATGATACTCTGGATGAAATTCTCGGCGTAGTTGGCATTGCTCTGGAACACCTTCACCCGCTTCCGCAGCCCGCTCGTGCCCGGCTTTTGGTCCGGGTACGCCTGGGTCTTAACAGTTACGATTTTCACCATGGTGGCGACTCGCTGCCTGGCTCTGGCGCGGACACTGCTAACCGAGGGGCGGCCGCGGATGGGGCTGCAGCTGCTCTGGGCTGAGGTCGCGAGCCGGTGGGGGCCACGCCGGCACTCTGGGTTACGCTGGGCCCTCCTCCTTAAAGGGACAGGAGGTGGGACTCTGCCTCCACCGCCAGCCCACCCCCCCGCAAGTTTCTCAGGGAGGGGGAACTGAGAGCGCGCAGCGTCCGGCTCAGGCGGAGTGGGCGGAGCCGCTCTGATTCACCCTCCCCTTGTTGAGCCAACCCACTATAAAAAGAAATCTGCCACTCCCCCAAATAGAGGCGGAGCTTGTATTAGGGGCCCCTGTCTTAGGGCAAGGACGTCAGGCGAGGTGGGTTAAATGTAAGATTATATTATATAATTATAATGGTTTCCTTTATAACTTTCTGGAAAACTGTTCTGAAGGACAGAAAAGCCAACCTCAGCTGGGTTCATGATTCCTTATTCTTTTTATCCTTTCCCCCAAATGTAAGGGCATTTGAGTTCAAAAAGGAATCGAACTCAGATCTTATTCGACTTACTACTTTCCATATGTTTAAGAGAGACCACACTCTATTTCTGTTGGTGGGTATTACAAATAACTGTTTTTTTGGATGTAATATTTCTAAACCTTACCAAAGTACAAGTTTTACTTTCCCGTTTTTTCTTTATAAAAATGAAATTCAAAAATTGTGTGTCTGGGCCACACAACCAAGTACATGTAAACCAACTAAGGTGGGTCTGAGTCCAAAACCAGGGATCTTCCCATGATCTACCTGCCAGTCATCAGGTTTGAAAACTAGGAAATGTACAGGGAGGCCATGATAAATGTAGGTACAAACATAAGGTAAAATGGAGTATGCTTACCATGAAAATGAGATGGCCCCAAAGGGTCATGGAGGATAACAGTCAACAAAAGTTGTTTGATTATGAAGTAGAAATCTTCAGTCTTACCTTCAGATTTAGTATCTCTCTTGATTTGGTGAGATTGTCTCCTCTGCTTGAGAAGTGTGCCATTTTGGTGCAGTGGGGGAAAAAAAAAAAACTTAGCTTTACAAGATGTGTAACCTTGGGGAAGTTAACTTCTGTGGGCATCCATTTCTTTACTATGATTTTTGCAAGAATTAATGGGGTTTTCTGTGTCAGTAATTCTCAACCATGGATACATAGAATTACATGAGATAATTCTGAAATGACCCATGCTCCAGCCCCAGTTGAAATAAATTCCTCATAATCAACTGATATAAGTCCTCTAATATGGTGCCCCAAATAGAAGCTCTGGAAATATTAGCTCTATTTCCCCAATTCCAAAAGCAGAGTTTATCATTAACCTGTGAATTAGAGTCTATTCATGCTTCTTGTAATGGTTAATTGGTACATTTGTAATCAAGCAGGGAGGCTGGCAGACCCATGTGAGTGCTGCCTGTCAGAGAACAATCATTGATGTACATGTTGATAGAGCATGTGTGATATAGAAATGCTGTGTGTTGATATATCACTGTAAATGCATTTCAGTGACAAACAGTATGTGAAAACTGAAGCCTGGACTGCTGGTAATGATTCCTAATATTTACATAAGAGTCAGTTTATAGAGTTATATATATAATCTTGTGAATTAAATATTGTCATCAAGCCCATGTTATAAATGAATTGAGAATGGAGTGGTTAATATAATCAATATATTTACCTAACTGTACAAACTGAAAATATAGCTAGGCACTGTGGAACACACCTGTAATCCCAGTTACGCAGAAGACTGAGGCAGGATTACATGTTTCAGGACAGCCTGGCAACCTAGCCTCAAAAAAAAAAATTAAAAATAAAAAGGGCTGAGAGTGTAGCTCAGTGGCCAAGCACTTGCCTAACATGTAGAGACCCTGGATTCAATCTCCAGTGCTGAAAGAAAAAAAAAAAAGAGAGAGAGGGAGACAAGATAGCATAGAATCATTGAATCTTAGAAATGCCTATTTTAGAGTTGTGTGGTTTAAATTAGATGCTGAATGTAGAACTCCTACCAGTGTTAATAAATGATTACTTCATAAATGGCAATTCAGAGTATTGAGTTGAAATTTGGATCCCATGGTCTATTCTTCACTATCTTTGTAAATAGAATAGGGCTTTTCACTTAAGAGGAATGGCTCTATACTTCTCTCATTTCAAAAGATGTAACCATTAGTTTCCACTGCATAGCAAACAGTCTCAATCTTGGTGGCATTAGACAACCATCATTTATTATTGCTCATTATGCCAGTCAACTGAGCCATTCTGCTGGTCTGAGTAAGACTCTGCCAATATTGGCTGGGCTCCCTGATGCTAATCTGGTAATCATGTCTTTATGCAATCCCTTTGTATTACTTTTCTACTGTGGTGTAACAAAGTACCACAAACACAGTTGCTGAAAACACGCATTATCTCACAATTCTGTAGGTGAGAAGTCTGGGTGGGTTTGGCTGGGTTCCATGTTCAGGTCATATAAGAAGTCTGAAATCAAGGTGTTGGCCGGACCAGGCTGGGCTTTTATCTGGAGACTCTAGTCATAAACAAAATGTCTTTGTCATCATGATTCAATAAAATTTAACCAATCAGCTATAGACAAATCAGTTTAAACTGCTCTGCTTGCCTTAAAAAGGAATGCTAATGTAAAAAAAGCCAAGTATAAAGAGAATCAAAATACTTCCTCCTTTTGAACTGCTCTTTGTATACCCAGTAAACTTGAACATTTTTTTAAAATGTGGTCTGATTGTATTCTTAAAATTTGACCTGATTCAATTTTGTTTTGTTTTGTTTTTTGGTGCCAGGGATGGAACCCAGGAGTGCTTAACCACTTAGCTACATCCCCTGCCCTTTTTGTGTGTGTGTGTGTGTGTGTATTTTTTTTTTTTTTTTTTTTTTTTTTTAGAGACAGAGTTTCGCTGAGTTGCTTAGGGCCTTGCCAAGTTGCTGAGGCTGGCTTTGAACTCACGATCCTCCTGCTACAGCCTCCTAAGCTGCTGGAATTTCAGACATGTGCCATTGTGCCTGATCTGATTTAATTTTTGATAGCTTGTTTGTAGGACCAATTTCCTTGCAGTTGTTGGTCCGAGAGATCCATTACTTTGCTAGTTATCAGCCGAAGTCCACTCTGCCATGTTCAGTACTTCTCATGATTGAAATCTCCACTTCTGCCATTGGTCAGTGAAAATTGTTTTTTAAGGAGCTTGTGGGATTAGAACTGCCTCTATATTTGCCATGTAATGGAATATTCATGGAATTGACATATCATATTCATCCACACTCAGAACAGTTTCTGAATTTGCAGAGATTTGTTGGTTATAATATTGAAAAAAGCAACAAAATGATTCCCATTCCCCCATGGATGACACTGAAGTTGGAAAAGAAGCCATTGACCCTAAAAAGCCCATACTAACAGAAATAAGAATTCTGGGCAGTGTGGACCAATGACCAAGAACAAAATAATGTGTGCCTGCAAAGACAATTGGTATCAAAGGCCAGGTGTCTTCCCTAATGCTTGGGTACTATAGAAGTTAACTGTACTTAATCATGGCTCAAGGTAAGTTACCTCAGTAGAATAAAGTAGATATCAAGATGAATTCTCGGGGCTGAGGCTAGGGCTCCGTGGTAGTGCACTTGCATGTGAAGCAATTCAATTCTCAGCACCGCATATAAATAAATAAAATAAAGGCCTATCAACAATGAATATACATATAAAAGATGAATATATATATATAAAAGACAAATATATATAAGGTGTATATATATATATATATATATGATGTGTGTATATATATATGTATATATACATATATATATGATGAAAAAATTAAAATTTTATTTAGTGAATCCCTAACTTTGTGGTCTGAGATTTGTATCTGCTCTTAGAAATCTTGAGTCTCTGCTACCCAAGTGAAATGGAATTGGAAAACATTAAGTTGTTACAGAAAAAGTAAGTTCTCTTTCATGTATAATTAGATTATGGTGAAATATGTACTCCTTTCATCTGTTTTCTAACTCTTCATGTTCACATAGTATGTCTACTTTTATTAATCCTAATAAAAAATACAAGATGCAAAGATTTACCAGAAGTAGTTTAAACTCAGAATTATACTTCAGGCAATAAGTAAATAGTATAACCTAAATAAAAGAAATAAGACTGTATTCACATTATTCCACTTGAGAATTTGATTTCTTTAAGAAACAATACACACACACAAAGGAATGGGAGGAAATATACCAAGATAGGTAACAATGATTATCTCTGGGGCAGAAGATAGGGTAATTTTAATTTTCTTCTTTATGCTTTATATGAATTTTCAAGGTTTTCTACAAAGAATTTGTAATACTTTTGTAATCATTAAAATACACAATTTTTCTATATCCAAGTATGAATATACTACAATGAATCCTGCATGTGTGTATATATATGTATGTATTATATATGTGTATATAATATTATATGATGATAATGCACTAATTAACAATAACAACAAAAGAAGGGAGATCAGTAGAGTACAGCAAATGGATGGGTGTAAAGGAAGAGGGAGGAGAAGAAAAAGTAGTGAGGAAGGAGATGGAGCAAATTATGTACATAGATGAATATGGCATAATTAATCTCACAATTAGGTATAATTATAATGAACCAACAAAAAATTTAAAAAGAAAAATATACTTGAAAAATATTTGAAGAATTTTTAAATGATAATCCTTATGTTATTTCATTAATGGGTTATTTACCATTCAGATGGTTATTCATTCATTTACATATAGATTTAGTCACTCTACAAATACACTTTAAACTTAGTACTAAGTGCCAGCTAGACCCCGGTGTCACAGAGCTTGCAATATGTTGAAGGAAACAGATACTGAATAATAAATCATAATTGTGATCATGTTAAAAAGAAGCATAGGTACTGTTGGACTGTAAATAAGAGGGTCTATGATTGGAGGGAGTCGGAGACAATGTCTTGGAGGAAGTGAGAGGAAGTGACACATGAACTGAGGGCTTGAAGGATAAATAGTTGTTGACCAAGTGAAAAGAGAGGAAGAGCATTCCATTCCAGGAGAGGGAAACAAGGGGGAATATTTGAAGTAAGAAAGAAATTAGTGTCATCAGAGCCTTGCAAAGTAGCCAGTGTGACCAGCATAGAAACTGAAGAGTGGGCCA